AAGTTTAGAAACTTGCATTTGATCTTTTGCCATCCATAAGCCTCAAGTTATAGGCCAGCAATTACAAAACAAAGGTCTTCCTGAAGCAAAAAAAAATGTGAAGGGTTCAAGACTTGCTTTTTTTTTTTCTGATTTGTGTTGTTTACAGTTTTACTGACAATTTGAGTAGATCTAATTAAAATGCACAAAAAGATGAAAGAAATACTAGTTAAATATTATTGATGGTTGAAAATGATTTGTCTAACAATTCAAGATATTAAAACTTAGTACATTAGTGTAACTTAATCATCAACCCTTGGTCAGTGGTAACCAAATATGTAATGCTGCTCGCCAGTCCTCAAGTTTCTTCAGACCACTGTGGTTACCATTTAGCTGACTCTTAACTATTTAGGACGTAACTCATAGTCGCTGGTATCATGACTTAGCTGATGTTTGTTCACACCCATTCTTGTCTTTGTCACGTTGTTTTTGATCTCAGAGGGTGAGAAGATCACTGAAGCACACTGAAGTGAAGAATGTTCCACAATTTGGGAGCTACACAAAAAAAGAATCCTTTGGAATAAAGAATTGAGTTAAAAATGTAACAACAATTTGGTTTATACATGAGTTGTTGTATACAGTGGTTTTAACCCTTCTTACTTGTTATTATAATCAAATGAAACTGGAATCCTCTTTGGAATCTGAAGCTTGTATTTGTTGTAACTTAAATTAAGTTCTGGTCTTCAGGGCTGACACAAGGTCTTCATTAGGAAGTCTTGGCAAATGATATGGATTCCAGTAGCAGTAGTGTGGGGACTCTCTATGTGCCTGTCTCAGTCCATGTCCAAAATCTCCAGCTTATATATGGAGTCCAGTGTTTGGCAGGTGTGATGTTGACTAGGGTCTGGGTTTGGTTGTCTTCTACCCTAAGCATCAACCTTTTCTAAATTTCCATATATAAAAATACATTTACTTAAGTGGTTTCCAAATTTAGGTTTGTCCAGCCCACTTTTTAAAGTGGTCAGTCAGAGGGATCAAGCCACTCCTTAGTTCCAACTCTCTTTACGCCTCAACTCGCACCATAACTCCATATAGGTAGTGCTCTCTTCCTTCTCCTACTTTATCAGCAACTGGAGTGACAAATCCCAACTTCCAGATGGCACAGTGAAAGCGAAAGGGGTTTTCACTCATTAATCCTTCTCCAACAGCTTTCCCCATGCTGGGATCTCAAATGACCAGACCACTCAAGAATTGGAAAAAGAAAAAAATCATTTCCACTCTCCTTAAAATTTATGATTGAACAGACCACCCAGCCTTTTTGTCCATGGTCACTTAAAAATAGTAATTAATTTTTCCTTATCACTTGTATCAAGAGGAATCCGAATATTGTTTGGATATAAAATTTTCTTTACTGGGTGGCTGATTCAAAACAGATGGTTTTTCCTGACACTTTTTGTCCAGTGGAATTGTGAATGTTTATTTCTGCAACTGCCCTTCTTTCTTTACTGGCAACATATGTTTTTATTTTATCTGATGTCTTCGTGGATACCTTAATGGCCTCTTCTTGTTTTTGATCAATCTCCAGTGTCACATTAGGAAAAAATGAAGCATTAGTCAGCTTGGTGTTTAACTTGCCAATTTCCAGTTCTTATGACATTATTAATTAATGAGAACAACTAGAAATGGTAAAAGAATATTTACAAAAAAATACTTGTTTAAAAGAAAAAATTACATCAAAATTTTTTAGATGAATTGTGTCTTGCTCATCTTTGTTGTTAATTCTCACCAGTCATATTCACCTTTTGTGTCACTTGTCCATTTCTTCCTTCTGAACCAGTGGGAGTTCAGTCTTTAGATTTCAATCAATCTAAGCATTAATTGATGTGAAGTTTCCTTTAAGCCTGGAAAACAATAAGAATACACAACCCCACTTGATTGAATAAAGAGTCGAGTTGAAAATTTAGAAGGTTACCAATACAACTACAGACACTGAAGAAGGCTAAAGGATACAATTACAAATGTTCAAAATGCTTGGTTTGAAGAGCTAGGTATGTAGTGTATTTAGGTAGTTGCAAACAAAAATTACATTTTTGATAGTTAATATTTCTTCAACGCACACACACACTCTCTCTCTCTCTCTCTCTCTCTCATATATTGTGTAATAGATGATATTTAGGATGTAAATGAATTCTGATAGCATTTAACATTCTCTATTTTACATTTCTTTTTTTAAATGGTGTAATATTTATAAACAAAATGTTATCTAGAAACCTTTCCTCAAACTTCTGCAAACTAAAAATTGACTACTCGTTTGCAGAAGTTTTTTTTCCATTTGTGCCTTAATGTTATAAACTTAATAAAAAAAAAAACTTAAATTTTAAACATAGAATTATTTTATTTACAGTAACTTTCTCAAATACTTTTCTCATTTCAATGTTCAAATAGCAAAAATGGTAAGTTTTCTTTCAGACCATCTGCTATCAGGTATTCTTGCTACTTCTGCATATTTCATGCACACACAATTGTAATTATTTTTACTAAGAGCAAGAAATAGTTTAAGATTATTTTTGGGAATTTGGTTGGCAAATGGTTTTAGTTAATTTATTTCCTATTTATGAATATGTAATTTTAATGTAACCATTTTAATTTTTTTTTTTTTTTTTTTTTCTAGCCAGTCTTAGTGAAAAATTGGGAGCTCCATGTTCAGTTCAGAGTTCATGGAACAGGCAGAACACTTTATGGTGATGGCTTCTGTATTTGGTATGTCAAGGACCGGATGCAATTAGGTTTGTATGAAAGAAGTCTATCATGTGTGTGTGTTTAACCCCCTCACTCCCACCTGGAAACTTTTGGTAAAGTTTAATAAAGTGACCCCACACCCTAAAATTTTGAGGAAATGTAGACATATTTATTTGGAGTCTAAATTTTATGTTAACCAAAATTCTATGCAATGTCATTCTAATATTTACACTTCATTCCATATTCAGAAGTTATGTAATTTTTTGTTTCACTTGCTCTTTTTAAATGACTCTAAAAAAAAAACAATTTAAAAAAAAATTGAAAAAGAACTTAGTAATCCTGTGATTTCTATCCCCCCCCAAACAAATGTAACATGATAGTCAAGAATTAGTACAGTACTTTCTAAATTGTTCTCAAACTGCCACAAAATTATGAAACTTAATTCTTTTGACCATTATTATTACTAGATTAGTCTATTGTCTATTTGTTGTAAGGTGTACATGAAGAATTCTATTTAGAAATTTTTAAATTTGACAAATATAATTTCCTAAAATTTATGTCTGTAGGTGAAATCTTTATTTTGATTTCATATCTGTGAGACATAACTGTTATGAGTCCCACCAAACTTGCTTAAAATACAAAGATGTATTTCTTTGTATTAAAGATTCCCTGTTATTGCTTCCATCAAGGGTTACAATAGGTGTAACAGCTTTTTACTACTGCAACCAAGATAGATGGTTTGGGGATGGTAGTTTGTCCAAGTGTTCACTAATCCTCATTCTCTATCATTGTAGCATGCCAGTAACAAAAAAAGTCTCTTATCAAGATATCCAGCCATTTGGACTGTACAGGGAGAGGTGATCTCATGCCTTTTTCAAGTAAAAATTAGCATAAGCATTTTTATTCAGAATCTGAATTAGTTTGATTTCTTGTATCAATAATATATATTTGAAGTAAGTGTGCTTCAATATCTAGGATAATTTTTGTCTATGTAAACAATGTTTATATATATATATATATATATATATATATATATATATATAAAATTTTAGTCCAGCATTTTTTATTACTTCAAATGTTATCATAGTGGATACTTCGTATTTGAAATGAACACCCTATTTTTATTTATTAAACAGTATATTGTCTATCAGCCTGCACATTTGAGATATCTCTGTAAAGAAAATGCATGCCCCAGTAGGGATCAAACCTGTCTCTCCCCTTTATAGGGGAAACCACTGTTTGATCCAGTGTGCTTTACTGCTAGGCCACAAATAATGTCGCAGCAAGCAAGGCTCGCTTCCCCCCCCCCCCTTTTTTTTTTTATTTAAAGGAAAGTGCATCTCCCTCACTGAGATTTTTTTTTTTTTTTTTTTTTTAATAGCTTCAAATCTGCTCAGTTTTGTATGTGAAATGTAAATAAAGCAATTTCTAAAGAATTTATGGATTTATTTTTAATCTGGCATTTTTATTACTTCGGACATAACATTTGAAGTAATAAAAAATGTCAGATTACTTGGTATTTGAAAAAGACGCCCCATTTTCATTTATTAAACAGTGTGTATTACATCTTTTGGCCTCTGCATTCAAGATATCTCAGTTTTACTTTAAGTATTTCCTTACTTTTCAGGGAAGGTTTTTGGAAGTCGTGACCTTTTTTCTGGATTAGCCATATTTTTAGATACCTACAGCAATCACAATGGACCTCATAATGTAAGTGTTGCTTTTATGTTAAGTACATATGGGGACAGCAGAAAATAATGTACTGTTAAAAAAAATTGCATGTTGAAATAAAACAACCTTTATATTTTTCCAGCTGAAATTATAAAGATTATTTGATTTTTATCATTATTTGATTCCTATTAGTGATAGAGAATACATATATATATATATATATATATATATATAAGTACATGCCAAATTTTCTATACCATGTTTAATGCATTAATAATACAAATAACTTTATAATATTTATTTGTTCTGCTAGAAAACATAAAATTTTAATTTCATAGATATATTTGAACCCTCACAGAAGAATTTGTCATAGACCACTTTTACTAATTCAAATGCTATTACATTATCCAATTAAGACAATTGGAAAGTCATTCAAGGGTCTATGAAGAAATGAAAAATATATCTATGAAAACATTAGAACTTAACCCTTTGAAAACTACCTCTGTAAAACAAAGTTGTTACCCTCTACTTACTGCTGTTGAACATTTATAAATATATGTCAGTCATAACAACAGTTGTCATTTGCACTTGAAATATATACACTTGTCACAGTGCACATTTATAAGTAGTTTTTGTTCTAAATGTCCTTTCTACAAACTGAACACCTCTTTGTTCCTCTCTCAGCAGGCCTGACATTGTCATAGCTGGAACTTTTGAGACAAGTTATTGAACAAAATGTGTATTTCTTAACTCCCCAATAATTTTCTCCCCAAATTCATAAACAGTGTATGTTCTCTTTCCATATTGAACATGAGGCTTGGTGACATTCATTACTACATAGGCATTGTAGACTGACCAAGGAAATATTGTCAACAAGCAACTCAGCCACTTGTAGTGACTTGTAAATCTGGTGTTTTGTTATACTATCACTTTTGTTGGTATCCCTTATGTATGCTTTGACTGCTTTATAGTTACTGGTAGCCATCTGCCTTTATATGCATTGTATCAATTTTTTTTTTTTTTTTTTTCTCCTTAGCTACATTGCTGCTGTTATAAAGCAGGTCCCATTCTCCTTTTAGCTATTTGTTTTGGGGGCTTTTTTTTTCTCCCTTGATGTTCTTGGAAGGTTCCTGTGGTTCATACATTCTTCATGTAATAGTTTCCAAATATGAACTGTACTAACCAGCATGGAATAAGCGATGAGTGTATAATCAATGATCCTGTACAAAAAAAAAAATCTTAAAAAGATTTTTATGGGCAATTTTAGTGGCATATCCTTGATGTATTTTCTGAAGGAAAGTTTATTTTTGGTTGGGATCAAACCATCATTCAACAATAGTTACAACCAAACAAGCAATATTTTAACTTGGCCTGTACTGTATACAGTTTAATGTATTTGGTAGATTCTCGTCTAGCTGGGGATCACTTTCCTTTATACAGTTTAATAATGACCAAACAGTAAGCACATCCTTTATTTGGGACATTTTTCTTTGATGCTTCTGCTATCTTGTTTTAGTTAGTACTGGAGCTTGAGCTGTCATTTCTAACTGATAAGCTTCCATCATGAGGTACACAAATGTTTGTTTCTGCTTTTCTCATGTTTAGTATCTTTTTTCTTTTAAATTCAAAATTGATATGAAGGTGAAGGTAACTGGTCATTTCCAGCTTCATGCTATCCAAGACAACATCAAAAATAACTTTTGTTAATTTTCTTTTCTGCACAATTTTCATGACAAAAGACAACCAAATTTGTTCACAAAACTCACTCATTTCATTCAAACTTAGATAAACTAATATTAGATAAATTTGTTGTGATTGGTTGAAATATGTCTGGTTTAAATTATGGCTAATTATCAAATTGCTGAGAGTGGGGGACCATTGTAACATTTATAAACATAACTGTGCTGACCAGTATATACTTTAGCCAATGAGGTATATTGAGTTTTACACAATTGCTGGTAATGTGTGTTCAAAGGGTTAATCTTATTTAGTTTTTAGACACCAAGTTTTACATTTGTTTTATCTAAAATTTGTGTGGGCAATCTGGCAAAAGGTACTCGCTGTTGGCAGAGAGAATGGAATTTAATTATTTGTATTAAAGCTTTTACTATGTAGTTCATAAAATCAGTTGAAATTTGTAATATTTGGTTGAATTCTGAATTCTGTCTTAAGTATTCTTTACTGACAAATGAAATGATTTGTTACTGTCAATACTACTTTTAGATTGAAACAATTAGAAGCACTTATGCTTTTAAACCTGTTTATAAAATTGAAGATACTTTTTCCTGGTAGATGGTTATAGATTTATGTGTAAATGACTATAGATTTTTTTTTTTTCCTCAATGTTTGTTCTATAGGCATAGGAATACATATCCAACTTAATGACAAGAGACATTTATTTTGCACATTACAACAATTCCCTTTGTCAATGCACTTAATTTAGTGGTAAATATTAATCACATAGATCAGTTAAAATTTCAGCTAAGAATGTCATGCAAGTTTATTAAACCACCATCTCATAACTTTTACTACTTGATTAATACATATATTAAGTTGTGTTTTTTTTCTTTATGGAAAGTATGCATTGAAATGTCAATTGTTTTTCCATCCAACTCTCCAGCATGTACATCCTTACATATCAGCCATGGTTAACAATGGAAGCTTAAGTTATGACCACGATGCAGATGGTACCCATACAGAATTGTCTGGCTGTGAGGCGCAATTCAGAAACAAAGATTATGACACCTTTATCTCTATCAGATATCATGAAAACACATTAAAGGTAAGCATTAAAAATTTTTTTTCTGCAAAATATTAAAGTTTTTAGTGTGTGTATGTGTATATATATATATATATATATATATATATAATGTTCTATTTGTCTTCATTACTAGCAGCGTGGTTTGATATCACAATGTCTTAAGTTTTTCTGATTTTATTATAAAATGTTTTTAAAATCTTGCTCTTGTCTGTGGTTAAAAAAAACAAAACCTTTAAAATTGAAGTTGATTTAGTAGTTAAAACAAAGTTTTAATTTTATATAGTTATAATTTTTACAATTACTCCTTTTCATTATGGGAATTAGTGTTTTCTCATGTATACTATACATAAAGACCAAGCTATTGGTTAGCAATAATTAGTGGAAGAATATCCTGTAGTATCACATTTAATCGGGTGAAGGAGATATAAGGTCTCTTAATCAGATTTATAAAGTGTCTCTGGATGAAGAAAAAATTAAGAGTCTTGTGTGTTTTTGGAGTTGTACTGAACAAGGAACAGATTTTTATAAGGGTTTGCTAGTTAAATTCTATGGTTTTGTAACTACTTAAGCTGATATTATTCCTATGCTTCTGTCAATGAAAAAAATTGTCATTTAAATTACCTATTGCCAAATAAATCTGTTCAAATTACTTAAATCTATATTTTGCTTGCCACTCCCAAAGTGAAAAGTTGGTTATTTTCCTTTTTGAAATTACATGGCTGCTCTTTGTGGCTAATAAAAACAGTAAATGCCAGTAAAGTCTTTGACTTTTGCATTCCTCTTTTGTAGATCTTTATCAATAATTATTCACTTAGGAAAGAAAATGTGTGGCTAACTTGCACTGGCTTTTAAGTGGTCTTCTCATTGTGGTGTATTTTTTTTTTTGTTTTTTTTTTATATATTCTTCAGGTTCAATGCTCATACTGCATTTTTACAATTGGAGTATTCCTTATTTTTTGTATGTGTATGTTTTTGTATGTGTTCAGTTTTAAACAATTTGCTGTAAACCTTTATACATGGCAAGATAATAATCCACATGTATAATAAAAAGAAAAAAGTAGCATTTTTATATACACAATTTTCTGTGCAATACTTTCTAGAATGCATAGATGTAAGACCCTTCCTCCATAAGTACATGTCCTTTTTTTTTTTTTTTTTTTTTTTTTTTTTTGCTTTTAATACTGAAGTATTTGTAAACTTTTGGGATTTTGGCAGTTTAAATTGAAACTTAAGTAATTCCTCAGAAATAAGATATAGATGTTATTCCTGTCATTTTTTATCCACATTTGTTTAAATTGTTCTTCAATTTTTATTTTTTCCTGCTCCTCTAGGTTTTTACCGATATTGACAACAAAAATAATTGGAAAGAGTGCTTTTCAGTGACCGGAGTTCATCTTCCAACAGGATATTACATTGGAGCATCTGCAGCTACAGGTGAATTAGCAGGTAAGCATGATTTTAGCTTTTGTATTTCAAGAGAAAAATGAATCCAAAGTCTAAACTGAAAAATATGGTAGGTTTTTTAAATTTAAGGGAAATTTAAAAATCTGATGTCTGTTCACATCTTGTGTAATGTGCCTGACCAAGAATTTTACATCACCCTTTCATCCAAAAATCTGTTGATTGTATAAGATCACATATTCCAAAGCTAATAAGTAAATGGCTTGTAACAGATTTAATGTTTCTTCAAATTTTCATTTCTGTAAAGATTTTTTTTATAAGTATTTTTTGACTTTTTATAAAACTAAATGGTTATAAATATATTAAATTCAAATTAAAATTTTGTGGTATTAAATATTTAAAAAATAAACTTAAGTATTTTAAATACTTGTGGCTGGCTTGTAATATTTTTTTCAAGAAATTTCTCAGACATGGGGAGGGGGTTAAATTCTTTCATCCCAAGTAGTTAAGTTTCATTTTCATGAAATGATATATAACTTCCTTTTAACAATGATAGTAATTTTTGTTTGCAGTAAATAAGATTTGATGAAGGTCAGGTCAGTATAGAAATGTAATTGGAGTTTTTTTTGTTTTTTCTTCAGATAACCATGATGTAATTTCTATAAAATTATATGAACTTGATGTTCCTGGATCTGTAAGTAAATTTTATTTTTTTTTTTTAATAAACATTTTGAAAAAATGAAAATTTATTTTTTTTCTAAATTGCTTTGATAGAATTGCTTCTGTTTTAACCCAAACAAAAACTTAAAAAAACTCTTGAATTATTTATTAGCATAATGAAAATATAGCTTCATTAGCTTTATTTGAAGTGTCTGCTTCTTGTATCTGCATAAATTAACTTTTTTATTATTTAACAACCTGGACATTGACTTCTATGAGGGTATATTCAAAGATCTCATCAGCTAGTGGTTATATGAAGTATAAACCATCTAGTAGACATTCAAAATTCTTGTTGCTGACCTGAAGCAACTGGAAGTTACCTTAATGTACATAGTATTGATTTCAGCTTTAGTAGCCTGACGGCAAGTGGGGGGGGTCTAAAGGAGAATTAGGAAGGCTATAGTGCAGAGAATTGAAAGAACAGAAGACTAGGTAGGGAAAACAAAGAAAAGGTTTATTAAATGCTTATACATAGTATGGAAAAGCTTGAGTAAATCAACTATTCTTCAAATAAAACTCTAACCTGGCATATTTATAAGTAGTAGCAGTCCATTTGTCACAGTAGTAGGAAAGAGCAGGAAGTACACGGAGTCCTACTCTACAATGTCAATATTCTTTACAAATTATTGTAATGGTTATGAGTTAGTAAAATTTTTCTACACTACTTGGAGCAATAAGAATCTGTGACCATGTTGTTTTTTTTTTGTTTTTTTTTTTTAATCACTTCACTCTAGACAAGGCAATAAAACCACCAAGACTGAGTGTTAGAAAAAAAATCCCTATTAAGGAGAGAGGACAATAAAAAGGACAAGAATTAAGAAGATAATAGATAACACTTGACATTATATTTAAATTTTTTTGATCAAACTTGACTGAGAGGCAAGAAGCTGGAAGAGTTCTACAAGTGAGAAGTGCAATAGAAGAAACTGTTAACATAGTTACATGTAGCCATTTAAACTATAAAATGATGAGACCTTGCTGCCAATCTATTACTGCGCTTAAATTTATTAAATCTAGGTACTATAGAGAAAAGTTCATCAGAACAATTACCAGGATGTGGTAGCAATATTCAAAGTAATAGATTCTGGTGAGAAAAAAAAAGCATGATACAGAAGTAGCAAAAGTGAAAAGACAATATATTGAAAGGAGATGGAGACTGACTGTTGGTTGGATTACCTAAAAAGCCATAAAAACTAAAATGAAATTTTTTTGTGAAGACAATAAAAACTATGTTTATATTACATCCAGATAAAAATCTGGAAAGGCAACAAAGATATGAGATAAAGGAACAAATGAGATGATGTCAAAGAGTGAGAAGAGATGCATGATAAATACATTTTAATTACGAGCATCTCTAAAATGTCAACAAGTTTAATGTTAATTTTGGTAGGCCTTATAGGAATTGTACAGTTAACATAACAGTAGTCTATTTTGAGGTCATGCCTTAAATAATTCCCTGCCCTGTTGGTGGGGCTTAAAATACTTCAGCTGCATCCTTGGCAGAGAGGGGTAAGCACCACCCCCACCTCCCAACAAAAAGTAGCAAGCTGTGTTACTTATGGATGGAATTCTTGTGGCTAAGCCATCCATAATCCTAGAGATTGAGTGGGCATGTGTATTTAACACTCCACTTTGACTGAAACTTGATCTAAATGAGCTGTTAGAGAGGTCTTATTTTCATATATGCTAAAAGAATCAACTGTAAAATATTTATTACATTAAAAGTCAGGTACAGTAACTAACAATGTGCAGCTACTCAGTTTCCTTTCATCCTGAGTATATTGTCTATGTCCCTCTCTGCCAAAGTGATTGGGTGGAGTGCATTCTCCTGTTCAAATCATCATTCATTATCAAAATGTTTATATTCTAAAGAGTCAAAAAAAAAAAAAAAGGAAGATTGAGAATCTTTTGGCTGTATTGTGGGTGTGGGGAGTAAATGGAGACATTAAGGATAGATGCATTTCACAAGAGAAAAATAAAAATACATTCTCATTAAATACAAGCAAGGATGTAGTGAGAAACCCTAAACTGTCCCTTTGCACACTGGAGGTGATGAAAACTGGCATCAGAAATTAGTAGGTTAAAGATCTGATAGGAATAAATGTGGAAGCTAAACTAATTCAAACAGACACTTACCTGGTTGCCATCAACACCTGACCAATAATAAGAGAAATCAATATTTGTTCCACAGCTGGATTAAGATTATCATTTTTATTTTCCAGGTAAATCCAGAAGACTACAAAAATATCATTCCATCTGCTGAACATTTTGCAGAACCAAGAGGTGATTTAATTTTTTCCTATAAAATTAATTTTTTTTAATTTCTCCTTCCTGTTTTTATTTGTTACCTCCATATTTTTTTGTTTATTTTTGTGTATCCTGGAAAATTCACTGCAGTAACTATAACCTTTTTTAAAAAAAAAACAAAAAAAACTTGTCTTAAAGTGGATTAGATTATTTTAGTCCCATGTGCATTGCCCTTAATAAAACCTGATTATCAATTGCAACTTTGCTGGGAATTATAAAATAAGTTGGATGTTTTATATTTTAACTTAGTTCAGTCCACAAGTATCTTGTGATTGTTATATTTAATTGCAGCTTTCAAGATGGTTATTTTCACAAAAATATGAATTTTCAACTTTACTAATTTAAATGTATTTTCCTTAAAAAAAGCACACTTTTGCCTCTTGCAATATGATTAAGGATGCTTAGACACAATCTGTCAAAATATTAAAAAGTTTTCTAATTTTAAATGTATTTTCCTTAAAACACTTTTGCCTTTAATATCAGTATAGTGTCTGGAGATAACCTTCACCCATTTTTTTTTTTTTTTTTTTTTAATAATCACCCTTCCTCCCTGACTGAAATTATTAATGCTAACTTTTTCATTTTACTCTGCTGTAACAGAATCGGTCAAATTAGCAGTTAAAAACCATAGGCTATAAATTTAGAACTTAGTATTAGTGAATGTATACGTGAGATATGCTTTTGTTGTGAAGTGCTGAATGTGATATACTGAATTTCAGAAATAAGAAAATAATTGATGAAATTGATTTCTTTTTTGATTTCTTTTCCAGAGCATGTGGACGATGCTCCTCCTGCCTCCTGGAGTGTATGGAAAATCATGCTAGTGATTATATTGCTCATTATTGTCTTTGTTGTGGCTGGCATTGTGGGCATTTATTTCTACCAAAAACATCAAGAAGGAAACCGCAAACGATTCTATTGAAGCACTAAAGTTCTCTAGGTGGAGATTTTAAGAATAGTTGAAAACATGAGCAGGCATCCACACATACACAAATTTAGAATTAAAAACAAAAAAAATATTTGACTATAACACCTAATTTTACTTTTTGTGACTGTAGTTAATGAAATCCTAAAGAGTGGGGGACAAAAAAAAAAAAACTGCATCTTCAAATTGTGTTCTACCTGCTACTCTATTCATCACTTTGGGCAACTTTTTAAGACATTTTTTTTTTTTTTTTTTTTTTTCTAATTGAGTAGACATTGATTACAGGACAAGATGCCAGTTTAATTAGCATGATCTTTTTGCATGCTGGGAACATCTCAACTATTTTCCTTGTGTGTGAAGGAGGTCAGTTCAAGCATATTGTACGTTGGGCCAATCTAAAGAAGGAAAAAAAAGAACACAATGCTATTTCATCATTTTTAAGTTCTCTCCAAGATCATTTAAAGATTTCTTTGGATTGGTTCAAAATACCAGCATAATTATTCATTCTTTTAATTTGGTTGCTAATATATTTCATAAAAAAATAAATCCAGCACAATTTCTCCACTCCCCTCTAGCTGGAAATGCCCCCCACCCCAATCCCCGCTCACATTTTTAACCAATTTCTTTTCATTGTTTTATTGCCTACAGCAATGAAAATCAAATGCCAAGATGAAACAGTTTATTTTAGATAATAAAATTTTTGAAATAATAAAAAAAAAAAAATCAAAAAAAAAATCTTGCCTTAATTAAATTTTTACCTCGCAGTGCAGTGTTTTTATAATTGAAATTAGGACAATTTTGTGACTAGAAATTTCACCAGCAAGCTTTGCACTTTTCAAATCTGTGATATCAAAGTAGTAACAAGTATTGAAGTTCCAATACAATTGGATCAGCTGTGTTTCTGGTACTTATTAGGGTGAACACAATCTCTTACCAGATTGTGCTTGTTCTCTTTGCAAAGAGGCTGTTTTAAGCCTTTACCTATCATCAAGAAGATTAGTGCCCCCCCATTTGAAATTCATTGTCTGAGGAGTGGGTATGATTTTATAATGCAATGACTAAATGTTTGAGATTATATTGTGTGTGTGTGTGTATATATATATATAATATATATATATATATGAAAACTAATGAAAGGTAAGCAGTAATTTTGTCATAAAATTTGTTGCAAAATAGTTCTATTTCAGTGTTCTCATTAAAAAAACTAGTACTATCAATTTTCCTATGTCTACATAATTTTATCCTTATTTTAGTGATATTTTCTTGCATAATCTAACACAAGGCCATAACTAGAGTAATTCTTTACAATAGTCATGGTTAGAGAACTTTATTTGTTATTTCCTGACTAGGTATACATACAGCTGTATTTCTTAATCAAGCATAGTATAAATCATTGCCAGATTGAATTCATTCAAGACTGACCCAGTGGAGACTGGTTTCACTCACTATATATATATATATATATATATATATATATATATATATATAATCTAAGACAAAATGCTTAGATTTTATAGATTATTGATTATTTTATCTGCTTATCTTTCCTGATCTGTTTTTTTTTCCTTAAGTGTTTTTAAATCATTTTATGTTGATTTCAAAGATAAAGCTTGTGGTTGGATGTAGCAGTTGTTCCTCTTTAATATCCAGGAATTCTTCTTAATAATAATATCTATTTGACTATGGAAAGCAGTGTTCCCATCTGTCCTTTTGCTGGGATTTCCATGTTGATGTTTGTGGAATACAAATTATTTACGACAAAGAATACCGTGAGAGCATTCTTGTTTTTGGGAGTAATTTTCCTCTGGGAGATGAATAATTTTATCTTCAGGATGTTGATAGTGGACAAGTCAGAATTTTCATTGTTTTGATGTATCCTTTTGTTCAAGTCGAATCCGTAGCACACACACATTTTTCAGTGATCATGGAGAGTGCTTAACCACTTCATATTTACATTGGGTTGTATAATGGATGCCCTTTTCTTTGAAGATTATAAGCCTGGAATTGGGATAGTTCCAGTTAAAGCCATCTTGTTTGTAAGTGTACAATATCAACTTTATCTTGATCCTGTTTTTTGCCTCTTTCAGTTATTTGTCCATTTATATTAAATGTTTCTATATTTAGACTCTTGATAGTCCCATTAATATATTTAGACATAAATTTACTAGAGTTGGGGGTCTGTTACTGCCTTTAACCACTGTCATTAGTTATAAGCCTTTTTTCTTTCTTTTTTTTTTTATGAATTTTATTATTCTTAGTAAAAACCTGTTGGGCTTTTCAAGCCACATTCCTATCAATATGGTTAGGCTGCTTAGATATACATATAATGATAACTAATCAAATCATTTCTTTAATGCATGGTTTTTGCAAAGATTCTGTAAAATATGCAATGTAAGATGGTGACAACTAAGATAGACTTATAAATATACATTTATTCTAGTTATATTATACATGGCATCCATGTTTTCTCTCAATTACACTTAAGAAAATGCATATAATCTTCAAAGTAACATGTAAATGCCTCTGTATATATTTAAAAAAAAAAAAAATACAAATTTAATCTCCTTCCGCTTCATTTACATTTTCAATGTGAGTTCATGACATTCAATTTATTCGCTTCTAAACTCAAATTTTACTTAATAAAGAAGAAAATCAAAAATTTGGGTTAATAAATTGTATACATTTTGATTGTTATAATTTTGTCAAAAACATGGTAGGTATTTGTTAGCAATTCACATTTTGTTTAGGGAAAATATTCTTTTTGTATCCGTATCATGCCAGAAATTTAAAAGCTTTGTCATTCATTACTTCCTAGAGTAATGAGTCTTATGGTCATATGTTGAAACACCAGTTTTTTATATGATCACCAAAGTTAAGTGACATCAAGCAGGGTCCCTACCTAAATGGGTGACCACTTGGGAATACAAAGTGCTGTAATGGATAATGACTCAAAATTGGAGAGCTGGGTTCTAATTCTAGTCAAGTTTATATTCACTTACATGCAAATACCCATGGGAAAGTAATGAATACACCTATTCTTCCCCCAGCTATGGGTCAAGTAGTAGGGCTTGTATCAGTAATTTATTATAAAAATATTTTTTGGCTTTAAATAACCTGCAAAAGGTTAATAAGCTGTTAACTGAAAAAGCCAAATTGATCCTGGAGTATTGAACTTGTTTTCTCAATGTATGAGAAGGGGTGTGTTTGTTTGTTTTTTTTCATTTCATGACTTCCTTATTAATAGTGAGTAATTAAGTGACTTGCTGGCACTCATTCCCAAGCAATAACCACCAACCATCTGCTCCTCTACTTGTATACTTGTAAAATTGTCTTTGGTTCTTCTGTCCAAAATGATTGAAAGTGGATGCTGTAATTGATTGAATCATAGAATTAACTTTGTAAAAATAAAAAAAATAATACAAGATATAACCTGTCAAAAACATACATGCTGCCTAAGGCAAATTTACATACAATCATGACAATTCTAACCTGGGCATGCTTGTAAATAAAATCTTTTGACTTCTCACTATAAACATTAATGAATTTAATTGTGAGAGGCCAATGTGTTGCATCCCAATTATTAATTTCAACTATTTATAATCATTTCTAAGTTTTTGTATCTAAAAGGAAAGACCATTTCTAGTTTTATATTTTTTTTATGAAGTGGGCTTTAAAAAATTCTAAAAAAAAAATTTTTTTAATTTTAAAATCTTCACAGCAAAAATTTTCAAACATCTAATTCGAAAAATGGGAAATTGAGGGCATTACCGATTTCACAACTACAAATGAGGTAAAAATTAACAGCAGTTCATGTACATACACATTTCTTTAAAAATATTTTATCAATTGCTCACACACACTTTTGTGGTTGTCTTTTCTATAATTGTTACACTATGGTGTAGTGTTTATCCAGTGAGTGGAGAGAGAGCACACATAATGATCTTTCAGGCTTATCATCATCATAACTTTGTTCTACAGGATTATAGTCCTGAAAGGACTATAACATTTATCTATTTAATATAGATTTAGAAGAATAAATAATAAATAATTTTTTTTATACATTGAATATCTTAAATTATTAGGAAGAGTTCTTATTCCTGTTTTATGTTGGTTTTAATATAATGTTCCACTGCATTTGTAGGAAGAAAGTCGGGCATTTTTAGAATAACAAACTGAAACAGATTGGCAACAGTTTATTTCAATATTTGATTGGAAAGTGAAATTGATTGTCCATGAATATATAAAGTTAAAATAGATTTATTTTAAATAAAAATAATTGGATGTAAAATAGTGAGTTAAATTGAATTCAGTTTATATTAAAAAAATAAAGCTAAAATAAGTTTATTAAATATGAAATTTGTATCCATTTGAGGTTTTGAAATGGAGAAATATACATACCATGATTGATAATCTTAATTTCTGTGTTGAATTGTTATAATAAAAATCTACATGTAAAATTTCCTATAGTTTTTTTTTTCTTTCCTTGTGACAAATAGTTGTATGATAAATCTTATTAATCAATATGGCCAACTTGTTATAGAAAGAATTGTAATAATAAACAAAGGCATTTTCCTATAAAAACCATTCCCAATTACATGTAGATGTAACATTTCATGGCATTTAAGATTTCAATAATAAAAGCAAAACTTTGACTCTTACCTAAATTTGATCCTGATATTAGAATAAAGCCTGATTTTTTTTTTTTTTTTATTATGAAGTTGTGAGTTTCTGTTGTATTCTCACAGGCCAAGGTTTTTGTAGAATCCATCAATTTTGATAAATATCCATAATTTTAAAGAGCGTGTCAAAATTATTCCTTGGGCCTTCATGCCCAAGGAAATTTTCATTTGGGGGTCAGACAATATGAAATGGATATATCCTCATTTTATTTTCAATATGTATTGTTCACAAGTGAAATTTCTTGATCTTTTTTTTAATGTTCACTTTCCTAAACATTGTTTATACAACCTGAAACTTACAAATGGAAAGTGGGGGAG